CGGCTAGGTAGATAACATATTCTGTGTTGTCGACTCCTCAATGAGTCCCACTATTCTGTTGGACCAATTTAACAAAGCCCATAACAACATAGAATTCACGCTAGAAATGGAATCTTCCGAATGGTTGGCGTTCCTCGATGTTTTACTCTCTTGTTGTGAAAATGGGTCTCTTCGAAGTAGCAATCACCGAAAGCAGACTTGGACAGGACAGTACACAAATTATCACAGTTTTGTACCTCTAAAGCGAAAGAAGGCATTGATTCGATGCATGCTGAACAGGACGAGGCGATAAATGCCAGGAGGAGCTGAGAAAAATTAGAACGACTTTCATAGAAAATGGATATCCGGATAAGATCATTCAACAATGTATGAAGGTCACCACAAAAGTGAAACCTGAGATGACGGCTAAGAAGAAACCAGTTTACGTATCCATTCCCTTCAAAGGTGACCCATTATCTGAAATGATAAGTAAGCGTCTCCAGACTGCTGTCAGAAATGCATACTGTGCCGCTGATTTACGCATTATTTACACTTCCAAATCAGTTCTCTCATTGCAGATGGAAATCACCTCATTCTGCATTTACCAATTCGTGTGTTCCTGTGGAACCACTTACATTGGTCTTACCGCCCGCCACTTGGCGGAACGCATTCGAGAACACCACCCCAACTAGCTTAGTCGCGGATTGACGAGACCAGGGAGGACGGCGATCACGACTCATTTGGTCGAAACCGAGCATCGTGTCAGAATGAGTGAAGCGGTCATGCCGATCTACACGATCACCGGGGTGAGATCGAAGCGGGTCAAGTATCGCTTACTGTCAACAGCCGAAGCGATCGCGATTCGGTTAAACCCCCGCTTTTGCGATCAAAACAGTCGGTCAGAGCTCTAAATTTACCATGGCCAGCCGCAAACGCTAGAGAGATATAAAGCCAGTTATAAAATCAGTGTCAAATCGTTTATGTATTTGATTCATTAGACAGTACAAATGACATCTGCAGAATGATTTGAACAGTCATACACCCCTTACTGTATTATCCATAGTATCAATACACACGCATACAAACACGGACATTATTTACACTTATTTTTTTCCTTGAATTATGTGATTTGGTGACCTATAAAAGAGTGCTGTATTTGGCTAGTAAATGAGGCACCGAAAACGAGCTTGTTTTTCATATTTACTCTGTGTTAAAAAATATATACATTACAGTGATATTTAATCGATTAACTGTGAAATCTCCACTCCAAAACAACAGGAAACTAGACTCGTGTTTGAATTCGTCCGGGATTAGAAAAAACTTACTTAATCAAACAACAATCAACCTTTACAATTTGACTACTCGTGAGTAGTAAAACAAAGTTCGTCAAATAAATGTCTATTTCCCTTCCTCTGGTACAATGGTGCATACAGGTTAATTTGGTCCCTTTGGTTTCATTCACAGTGACTGGGAACAGAAACTCATTCTCACTCAAGATATCTTGGACGAATGGATGAAAGTGCAGGCTACATGGCTCTACCTGGAACCGATTTTCAGCTCTCCAGATATTATGGCCCAGATGCCGGATGAGAGCAGAAAATTCACCACGGTGGATAAAACGTGGAAAGAATTGATGAAAAGTGCGAATGTGGATCGTAAAGTCATGACTGTAATTCAGATCGACAAAATGCTGGACAAATTTCGCAAATCAAACGATTTACTGGAGGCAATCCTGAAGGGATTGAATGCATATTTGGAAAAGAAACGTCTCTATTTCCCTCGTTTCTTCTTCTTATCGAACGACGAATTGTTGGAAATTTTGTCGGAAACGAAAGATCCGACCCGTGTGCAACCACATTTGAAAAAATGTTTCGAAGGTATCGCATCACTCACATTTACCAAAAATTTGGACATTACTCACATGAAGAGTAGTGAGAACGAGGTGGTAGAACTGAAAGAAGTGATTTCAACCTCTAAAGCGCGTGGAGCTGTGGAGAAGTGGTTGCTTGAGTTGGAAGATAACATGATCACTTCGGTTCATTTGACCATCAGTAATGCACTGGAAGACTATTTGCAATCCCCTCGTCGGGAATGGGTGAAAACGTGGTGCGGTCAAGCAGTTTTGGCCGGTTCCATGTTCTTCTGGACCTTGGAAACCGAGAAAGCGATCTCGGCCGGGCCTTCTGCAATGGGTGACTATCTCAGAGTAAGTTTCAGTTTCAGTGTGTATAATGTTTGGACACACAGATGTCATGAAAATTTGAATCCTGGAGAGGTTTTTCACAATTTGGCTGAAGTTGCCACACCAATCTGTATGACAATTCACAATTTCCAGTTTGACTCAAAATATCGACCATAGAGCAGGAGGTAAATGAAATAAGATGGTCAGTGGTCAGTTTGCCTTCCTGACTCTTTGTCACCATGTTTCAATATGAAGAAAGCAGTGTTTCTCGTGATCACCCTCTTTTTATTTTCTAATTTATTAGCTAATATATCACAAAAGAATGATTCCGTTTTCGTATGCGGGAAGTGGTATCCATTCAGCCCCCCCCCACAACCTTCCGTCTGGTAACTCACTTTCGGGTGAATATCCAAGTAAGAATCAAGTTTACTGGATAGTTTGTGTAGCTAGCATACGTTTTGAACCATCAAAGTGCACGACACTGCTCGAAAAAACAGAAGTAATGGAACGTCTAGATATATTTTTCAACCTGAACCGCTAAATCGTTGGCCTTTGAAAAATAGCATAAAAGATGTCTTCACGCACATACATTACGTTGGTTGGGGCAGGTGTTACGCATATCACCAAATAGGATGCCAAGGCGGGTGGTGGGTGGAAAAAGGTCAAGGACGGTCAAACGAAGACCTGGCATGAGGGTATGAAAACCCTAACCAGGAAACTGGGTCATATAGGTCCTGTTAAACTCCCTGGCTGGGGACCTCGGGAGGATCGTAACCGACGGTTACAGACACTGCGTGATATGGCTGGGTGTCGTAGCCAGTAGCGTTCTTACATCTCAATTTCTCCGCATCATTAGTCCATTGAAGTTCTCAATTTTCTCTTCGATCCTACTTCTAACCGTTTTGTTTTCCTCCTAATGTTCATCCAAATGGCAACCAAAACCTTCTCACGGAAGCGCATGCTTAATGGTTGTTTAAACTGAACTGAAGTGAACGCACATAATTTTGCGTTGACCAAATTGAGATACCCACCTCGTGGTCGTGACCTACATGTGTCCATGCAGGGTAGATTGCATATTGTTAATCCCCTGGCTGCTGTATAATGCAGGTGTAACCGATTAGTCTAGAATAGTTTACGATGATTTATCCGTATATTATATCAATAATCATTTGTCCATTCCACCCCGTGTTTACTGTGTCCTCGAAATCTCTACAGTTGAATAATCAACAAATTGAGGAGATTGTGGCCATGGTGCGTGGAAAATTGTCCAAACAGAATCGGACCACATTGCAAGCTCTGATCGTCTTGGATGTGCACGCACGGGACGTTTTGGCCGAATTGATTTCGGTCAAATGTAGCTCAAAAACGGAGTTCTCTTGGCTATCGCAACTTCGTTACTACTGGGAAGAGAAACAGTTGGTAACTCGAATGATCAACTCTCAGTTGAAGTGAGTCTCTGCGAGGCATTCTATCCGACATTTTGTTCTTGATGCATTTTGCTGCTAACGCGATGTCCGTCGGACNGGGGGGGGGGGAAGCGTCTTTACTGAAACTGATCCTTACAATCTACTTCATTACTAAAGGTACTTCAGGTCGACCGGTTACCATGAGACGATTATGGGATAACTGAAACCGAACCAACCAAAGTCCTTGATCCTGATTGGTCTAATTCGGATAATTATCAAGTTGTTTAATCTTACGTAAAATCCACAAACCTGGTACTCCAGTTCATTTTATACGTGAGTATTTTTCGGGTATGTAACCGTCGGAAATAAAGGAAAACGGTTAAAACGTCAACACGGTTGGTGTATCTATTACGCTGATATCCCAGTTTTTGTTTGTTATTAGTCCGGTTGATGAGGCACACATTTCAGTGTGCAGTGCGATTGCATCATCGTAAACANTAAGACTCTTCCAACGCCTATTGCAAGAGCTACATACCGTAAGCAAGACGCTAAACGTTACCTGTACATCTCGGTTTATTGATCAATGTATCCTTTTTTGCTCCGTGAATAACTGAGATAAAACTTTGTTGTCATGTCTCGTCTAAGTTCGATCAAAAATGTGTATTCACAATAATTATTGGAAACGAGTTAACTGACTTCGGTTGTGTATTTGTCAAGCAAAGTCAACTTGTCACTCACCACTGAAAAGTCTCCGAAGTATTTTGCGGTTATTTCATCCATCTAAGGCATTCGAACTAGTGAATAGCCACCGTAATTGCCGACGAATGCTACTTCAGATAGCTTTGACGCGAACCAAGCTGCCGAGGGTCAACTCAAGTGACCAACCCGTAGGGTTAACAGTCTACCGTGCCAGCGTTCAAATCCCAATGGATGCTGCTGTTGATTCCTAACAAGGACGAGACAGTCCTGAAATGCTTCCAAGTTTTTACAATGGCCGGGGACATGCTGACGCTGTTTGAAGAATACATAATCATTTAAAATAATAACTCATTATTTCCAGTGTCAAAAAAATTCATCTACATTGCTCCTACCAATTCGATATGATCTGCGAATAAAATGAATCGTATTAGGGAAATGTTCCGCTGTATTTATAATCCTAAAAATAAATGCCAAATTGGGATTTTTTAGAAAAGATGTACTGGAAACCAGACAGTTTATCCTCAACTTACAGACGATGAAGGGCTAAATGTGACTTGGTCAGAGAAACTACACGTTTCGTTGTTTCCATAAAACTTGGAAACATGTTTCACCGATAGTTCCAATCGCTCGTATGGTACGTAACTACCCAGACCATGTATTGCCTCACCCTTCTCATGCCATGCTTTTGGATCATCTGGCGGTCCCTTGTGTCATCTTTTCCTACCATAAGTTTGTGCAGTCTAGTCATAAAAGCATTCCAAACATTACTCTGAAGCAACGGAAAGCTACCAAACGGCTGATCATATTTTGTAATACCGTGAACACAACACACAATTTCTTAAACAACATTCGTTACATAACAGAATCTGCTGCCATTGGTTCATCGTATACTTCCCCACACCTGCGTAGTCCTGATGTAACTTAACGACAACATCCTGTCGATCAAGTACAGTAGGATATTGCGGTAGTTACCCTGTGTGGCAAACATCTTTATCAAGCGGCCCTGTCTTTGAAGCTCCGTGAACGGCGCAGCAAGCAGATCACATGCGCACACATCGTTCATTCATGGGCACATCAATAATCCCTCCCCCTCTCCGTCTTTCTGTGATCTGATTGGATTATCGCCGTGAGTGTGCATATTGGTAGTGCATGCCCCCCATTGGTAGACACAAATAGCGATACCACTGGCTGTGCGACTGCGTTGTGATTGGTGAATTCGCCTTCTGAGAGCTGGCCAATCATGTGAAAGGGGGTCCATTGTCCTGTGATCCGCACACGACTAGTGCGTATGACAAGTGAATTTCTCTCTCCATCTCGGTCACTCGACTTTTAAAACAGCTAATGATTTGAATGAGGGATAGCCACAATTAGGTAGTAATCGCGTAACGTGCGCCATTCCACTGCGTTATAGGGGATGCAGTGGAGTAGTTAATCAGATTACATGGTCCTCGAAATGCCTTTGATGCACCCCTGTTTGATTGCAGTAACAGTGTGAAACTTGGTATGGTTTTTTTACTTCCTGTTAATGATTATATATAATAATATGATATATAAATATATATATATAGCACCAGTCGTTACAGGCGCAGGTTGCATACGTCGTGCGGTAAAGCGTTTGTCTCAACGCGTTAAAGAGCACCACCCGCGATGGTTACGTCAGGAGAAGACTGGCTGTATCTCAAGCGCGAATGCGAAGCATCTCGTCGACACCGGGCACAAGATCGAACCCGAGAAAGCTTTCGATGTTGTTTATCGCATTCCACCCAGTCGATCGAGGGCGGCCCGAGTTTGGACACTAGCTACGGTCCAGGTGATCGCCATTCGCTTACTAGGCCCCGACCTGTGTGCCCCAAAACCACTGGTGCGGGCGCTCCAATTGCCTTGACTGGGTGTGAAAACCATGGCAGAACATGACACGTCACTTGATCCAAGTGGAGAAAGGTCACATCAAATAACACGTTACAAGTAAGGCACCCAAATAACTATGGCTGTAACGCGAAATACAGAAACAGAAAGGGGGAAACCAAAAAACAGTCAACTTGGGAATAACAATTGTTTTTGTTTACTGCACACCATTTTGAC